GACCTGCCTGCAGTGCCTATCCGTAGCAATAGAATCTATCCCGCCCGAAGCGTTCCCCGTTCACCTGTATTCCCGAGCCTGACCCGTGACACCCTGCCATCTTTAGCTTACTGTTGACTAACAATAATAGGGCGCTGCCTCTCAAAAAAGCGATATGGAACCTTCTTGACAAAGCGACAAACCAAAAACGACTCCCCTCATCACTTCGAGCATGCGTCATCGAAGCCCTCCTCTTCTTCTGCGAACGCGACCTCTTCTCCATTCGTTTCGCTGCCGTGGAACGAGCAAAGTCCCTTCTTCGCAAAAACATGTCATTTTACTACCAAGCCTCAGTAACCCTCTTCGACAGCATAATTTCACGCATCGACGGCAACTTCCAGAGATCAGAAGCTCTAATCGTTGACTTTTTGGCAGCTGATCATGAAGGAAACACACGATCTGATAACGCATTACGAGGAAGATTGCACATCTCGAATATTGAGAACAAGATACATCGGTATGATAAAGAAGTTGCATCGACTATATACAACTGGGAAGGAATACATCCGCTTTCGACGTTTGAGATTGAAGTTACGAGGAGACTTCAAGGCGTGGCGGCCAAGTTCTTTCATTCAATTGGAGACTTTAAGACGACGAGGGCGTCTTTAGAACAGCACCTCTGGCTAAATTCAACGATGCCCATTCGCCCAAACACTCGGTTGCTCATTGTCACGAGACTAGCTGAGATTCACTGCGAGTTGCATGAGTACGAGAAAGCACTTGAGATCATCCAAGTCGAGCTCGATGGCATGACTGCGCGAAAAGGTCGTCCGTTCCGAAGATTATCCATGGCCAGGGCAGAAGGCTACATCGGCCTCGGTCGCTTGGACGACGCAACTACTGTTCTTCAAGAGCTCATCAGCGTCGAACCGCCTGAACTCGATGACCTCAACGACCAAGTCCTCCGCGTCCGCCGTCTATTCCTCTCAGCGCGCATCCACCACGAGGGCAACAACTTCCCTGAAGCTTTGCAGCACTGGCAACTCACAGGCCAAATGATAGAGAGCTTGGGGATATTCAAGTCAAGGCATGGCTGGACACTTGCCATTGTTCATTTATCCATGGCGCATGCTCACATTGCTCTGGGGAATGAGGAACTTGCGAGGCAGGCGTGGAATGCTGGTGTGGAGATTGCGATGAGGGAGAGGTTTGAGTATGTGTTTCCGGTGCTGGCGACGACATGGTTGCATAAGATTGTGGGGGAAATCCATGAGGTTAAGGGATGGCCACTGAGGGTGATGTTGCCGGGAGGGAAATCGGATTTGACTTGGCTGTAGGAAGACGTTCAACTTGCGGTGGTATGATGCTGCTATAATTCATGTACACAATTTCACTTATATTCTTGGTGCACAGGATGATGCAAGGCGCCATAGTGAACGCGCAAAAAGATGTCATTTCGAACACGCGACCTGCAAAAACGAAGGGTGAGTGGCGCAGGGAAGATTTTAGGAGCTTAGGTGCGGATTTTAGAGAGTCATAGGTTCTAGGAGAGATACCACTGCACCACTCACCCTTCGATGGGGATGTACAGAGTGATTTTGGAATATAAGGGTATCATGTCGAGAACACAATGGAGGGGAAACTTAATGGCTTCGTATGGCTCACGAGACCTGTGGCTGAGTGCTTGCAATCGCCACAAAGAAGTTGGCAATTAACTCTGGGTGCCCAATCATGACAAGTTCTGCCTAAAGCTTAAACCCGTTGGCAGTAGTTCTTGTGGTTTGGACCTGAACTTTATATAAAACTGTGATATCTTATAGGGTCTTGAGATGTTTGAACTTGAGATGCTGGAGCTTGAGGTAATGTGCTGCAGATGGGTTGTGAGATGGATGTTACACAGGCACCTAGAAAATGGTTTAGTTACGGCATCCTCAGAACCGAGCCCTTCGGGGACTACCAAGAGCACGCTAAGAAAAAGTGCACCTGGAATCCAAAACACCATCTATTGGTTCTTGAAAAAGGTAAAAGAAACTGTCTTTCTGATGTTTATTCTTTCTATTTCTGACGTTTGACCATTAGGGACATCATGATCTCCCAGTCTGGGGGCATGAGATCGAGACTACGCACCTCCTCGACGTCCTGCCAGGTCCTCTCATCTGTGAGGAGGAGCTTTTCGTGTCGGATAGTGCAACGGGATCTCACTATAGGAAAGGCAACAGGAAGAACAAGGGTAGGATAATGTATCCTGACAAAGAGACTCGCTAACGCATTCTGCTACAGGAGCCGAAAGAGTTGGCGCGATCCAAGTTCATGTCTCCTTCTTGAGGGGCGAAGGGTTAATTACACCCGAAGAAGCCCCCACCAACAAAGCTGGCAAGGAGGTTGGGGCGAGAAACTACAAGATCACCCTAAAGATGCGAATTAAGGTCATAGGGCGCGACCTAGAATGTGCGTTCTTATGATCAGTGATTTATTCTGGAGACGCGTCAGAGCTGGTTGGAACACACACTGCCCTTTACCAAGACCGAACAGAAAAGAAATGCCGTATTAGCATTGCTTCTGCCTTTAAAACAGGCGTTGAATAGACGGAAACAGGCGAGGCGTTCTGAGCCTTGGTAGCCTGAGGAGTGGCAAAAGAACTTTGGCCAATCGAATTAGAGGATAAATGTTTAAAGACGATACCAATATCCGTACAACGTTTGTACTAATTCAGGATGGGCTCTACATAGTGCATATTTACCCTGGTTAGAATAGACGAATGGGAGACAAGCATACAAGGGTCAACTTACGCACGTGATGTAATCCAGGCCGAGTTAATTTTCTGCACCAAAGACAGCTCTTGTATCACCTCGTACCTCAGCATCTCAACATGTCTTCCTCAAGTGACGATGGAGTAGACCCAGTTGATCTCGCCAGCAACATCGGCACCTGGGTCGCCGCAGGCGTGGCCATCATTGCCCTAGTCGGTGTAGTCGGTCCATATCTTGCACTGCAAGCGTCGATGAGTGATAAAAATCGAGCCATGAATGCGGTTCAAGACCAGCAACAGAAATATGTATCAAGAGGATTTCGACTGACGAGAGGACTACGCGTTTTCAGAAGGATTGACGTGCCGAACCTTGCACCGGGATATATCACCAATGAGCCGGATACAGCCCCGCTTATACCGCCTCTCAGTGCAGCTTTGGGGCGTTGGGGGTTCAGGACGAGGGATTATCTGCCGTGGAATACAGGCTGGGCTAAGATTGCTGAACTCACCGAGTCGTATCAAGTGCGGGATGGGGTTAGTAACCGACAAGTTGACCTGGGCGTCCCAAAGACAGGAGGGACGCTCGAGGTTGTTAACAGTCGAACTGCTTTAGTTGTCAATAAGCATTGGATCCTGATTCTAGGTCTTCTCGGTCGATATGGAGACCGTATCGACAAAGGAATCCTACAGCGAAAGGGAATTAGGAGAAACTTCGATGGGGAACGAGCATCGATTCGACTTTTCGCCTTGCCGAGGAAAGCCAAACAAAGAGAATCAGACTTCCCATTCGAATGGGCTCGCAAAAAAGAGACACACTCATCCATAAGGAGAGGAGGCTCGTCAAGCCGAGATTCAGCAAGTTCGAGATCATGGTCAGATAGCGATCCGGACTCTGACGGAAACGTGATGGCCGTCCGCCGCAGCGCCTATGGGACTATCACCCTTGAAACGACTCCACAACCTACGATATACGGCATTACAGGCAAATTGCAGCAGCTCGGTCGACACAAAGGCTCTTGGAGTTATTTAACGTCTATATCGTTTGTGCCGCACATCGCAAAAGAGATATTCGAAGCAGATGTCAATGAGAGAAGAGAAGGGTCTTCTCTGCAAACTCTTTTTTGGCTTGCTCATGGCTTTTTACCGTGTGGTAGAACTGCAGAAGGGCGACAGATGGTGATCTCTTTAGAAGCCCCAGATATCTCTCTTGGATCAATAGGTAGGAGTGCTGATGATATCTTGGCCTGGCCTGCATACTCTCTCCAAGAGTCCGACGATGTTCCCATCTCAATTGGTATTGCAATGCAGTGCCTTGGTATCCCAGAGCCACAAATCTTACAGTTCCTCCCAATCGATGCTGCGAGTCAGGCAAAACGGGTGCTGGAAAAGACCAGCCATCACTCTTATGATAGGACTCAGAGTCCAGCGTATGGCTCAAATCAACAGAATCGTCCGTGGGAACGTGAGCTACCGGCAAAATCAGCCGATATAAGCCTCGATGGTCCCTGGGTTCGCTACTCAAATCCGTCACAAGACTACTTCTGTCTGTTCCGAAGACGCGATCTTGAGAAGACACTGAGACTTCTGCTCACCATCGAGTGGGATAATTGGGGGTTTTTGATTTGGAAAGATAGGTTCTGGTTGTCAATCCTACGACGGACCACTAGTATTCTGAAGATCAACGAGATATGCGGTTCTGAGTTTGGACAAGCATTCGGGCTAGCATCTCACTCTCAGATCTTTGACTGGAAGCACAGTGAAAAGTTTTATCCACAGAAATTGGCAGATCAGCTGTTATTCGACCAGTTTCTGACTGACTATCTTGATACATACGACCTTCTCCCTCTTCGTCTCTCACTGGGAGTTCTTTACATTTTGGATAAACAGCTTCGGGAGAACACCTTGAAAGTATATGCCAACTTATGCAACAACGGAGAAAACAACAACCCCCGTTCCCAAGCAAGGATTAAGTACCTTGAATCCGCTCTGGAGGAGGTTGAGGCGAAGCACCGGTTCCAGAAGGACATGCACAAGAACGATGAAACACCATTCATGAACAAGAAGATGGCAGGTATTACAGATTCCGAGTCTGTTGAAGAAGTCTATACACATATGTCAATAAGAGCCTTGGACACTGAAACGCTAGACCGCTTCGACATCGTCTATGAACCAGTGAGTACCACGGCAATTAGGAAGATAACCACTGACACGCAAAGGCTGATGATGCATTATACCGCATTACCGGATACATTGCCCCCTGGGAGCAAGAGATTCTCTTTCAACATACCTCCATACGTCGAGAGCTCTACCAACTCAAAAGTCGTATGATTGGAGGCGTGTTAGAGTACACTTACAAGACGAGAGAACTGAAGTGGTACTCTGACAAAACTTCAATGATGGATTATAGTACCTGGGAGCTTACGCCTCAGGATGTGATTATAACTGAAGAGAAGCTGTCCACGTGGATCGAGGAGAAGGATATGGTTATGGTGGCATTGTGGGTTGCTAATAGAGCGGCAGTGTGGATCGGGGCTCAGGACTCAAAGCCGTTGTTAGAGTTTGTTGAAGATTTAGATACGTATGCATATGTCCTGTAGGACCGTGGAAACAACTCTGTATGTCTAAGGTAGGCATAGAATTAAGCTGATAATTTATAAGGACCTATCACGCTTACATTGTTTTAAAGAAGTCTAAATATAAAGTATCATGTTTTCTAAATCAAGATGTATGTAAATGCAGAAAGAGAAGGAGGAGTAGAACAGAATGACTGCTCCATCAGCTGAAGACTAGAAACGAGACCAGCCTTCTTCTTAGCTACCGAAAATGCACCAGGTTAAGAGATACGTCAGCGCCAGCACCATGTTAAAGAACACATCTGAAAGAGACCCTCGTTCAAGGGCTGCAGCAAGAGCCAGGAAGAGCTCAAGTCTGTTGACTCACAATGGCGACACCTCCACGCCTTGATAGCCTCAGCTAACTTACTTACACGTAGTCAAGCATGAGGAACTAACAGCCGCGCTCGCAACAGCGATCCCAGGAACGATCAACTCACTAAATCCCATCACTACTTGAGCAACACTGGTCAGAGCAGAAACAGCTCCTCCGCTGGTAGATAGATACGAGCACATGCCGCAGTTGTTCGACGAAGAGTCAGTGATGCTGTAGCGGAGGTTTCCAGACAGTGCACCAGCACCGTCGGTACCAGGGACTTCAATAGCAACAGCAACATGCACAGACTGTGGGAAGACGGTGCTAGGATACCCTGTTGTGATGTGGCATAGGTTCGTGTGTCCATCCCAGCAAAGACCCTCACGGTGCATGAACATGCGTTGGTCGTTTGGCAGCGTCGTGTTGTCAATCGTGTCTTTGACAACGGCAATGAGCGCCTCCTTCATCATGGGCACGATGTTGGAATCCGCGCCTTCGCAGGTGAAGGTGATGTAGTGATCGTTGGGCATGCGGTGCGACGTCTCATCGCAGATAGCAGGCTGGCCGTCTGCCTTGAGGTATTCGTTGAACCACCATATCGGATCGAGGTGATCATCAAAGACGGCAGTCTCTTTGGAGAACTTCATGTTTAGACTCGGCTGGACGGCAGCCGACGAAACTGCAGGCGCTGCAGCTTGCGAGGTCTCGGATGGGGGGACGATCGATTCATGACGTTGTTGAATGCATCGGCAGCATCCTGACCTTCTTTGCCATTAGCCGCTGCAGCAGCGGTTGTGCAGAGGAACCAGGCTGCGGTGGGCGCTCGGCACGCGTTTTGGAGGGTAGAGCGGATGAAGTCTATGATAGTGGCTATATCGGCCGTTGCGCCGTGAGGAAAGTCGTTGGTGTTGGAGGGTTTATAACCATAACCTAGCATGCCATCCTGATCTTGGACGTACATGATGGTAGGATTAGTGCAGACTCCAAAGTCGGTAGTTTGGCGAGGGATCATTGCGCCGTCGGTGAGTTGAAAGGGCGCGAGGAGCCCAAGGAGGGCGAGAGCTGCGACTTTAGGCATGGCTGCGGTTGGTGTCTAGGGACTATTGAAGAAGGGAGGATTAGTTGGAATTGCAAAGTCGATTTTTGTATGAAGATGACAATGTCGCCGTGACTCTTATGTATGATTTCTCCTGTTCTAGCTTCTTGAGCACCTACCTCATATATGGATATACTTCGATGCTGTCTTCTGGAGTCCGGGACATCCTTGTTACTTTTCTATTCAGCCTATTGGCTTCTCTATGCTACGAAAACATCTCTGGGTCCTTGTAAGCGGATCCTTACAGTCCGTTCCTTACCTCTGACATGCTAACAGCAACGATGTGCAGAACATATACGACATGAGATTCCCCCCCCCCCCCTGAGTGTACTATCATGTGTTATCCGTCTTGAGAGACTGCGTTTATTATTGCAGTGAGCTGAAAGTGAAGCAATTGCCTTGGCTGACTTGTGCGGAAAGGGTTACAGAAGGCATTGGTGCTTGATCAAAGCACCACATGGTTATAATAGTTGCTGTTTCGCAAGATGCCGGTAGATGTTTCGAGCTAGGAGCTTATTACACTCTATACCCGCAAAGGAAGGAAGTTCGTCCACTGTGACCTCGTTCTTTGTATTAGATTCGGAACATACGGGACGTCTTTCCGCAACCCCGAATCTTTGAAAAAGGTGCATGTAACTGGTTCAGACCTTAACCTACCAATCTAATACACAAAAACGCACAATTTTCAGTCCATTGAAACAGTACAATACAGATACTGACTTCTTATGCTTCACGCCCACCTTCCCGAGAACCTTCAGCTTCACCAAGAATAGTGATATATATAGAGTGAACATTTCGCAAATCGTGATTTTGGCTTCAATTCCACGATCCCGAATCCTGATTAAAATACAAACTTCATCCGAACTATCCGCATAGCTCAGACGGGGTTGAAACATCGGCGATCTCCGCAACTCTATAAGCATGCCAAATTTACCAGATACCACGACATTACCCCGCAAAACACCACTTTGGTCTCTATGAAACGTGTTTCCAGAACCTTAATCATTCACCATGATGATAATAAGGCCGAGTCTAGCCGTGGAAAAGTGAGAGGTCGTTCTTGAACCAATAAGAACAGGCACTATTTATCTAGTTATAAACCCTGCAATATCCAAGAGTAACAAAATCCATGGCGGAAAAGGCCCGTGCAGTGGTCAGGTTGTAACCGCCAGAAGGATTCCTTGAGCCCACCAAGCGATCTCGTCGGTGTTTGAATTGGGCCCCAGATCCAAGAAACCAACGGGGAAAAGGAGTATCGTGATGACGAAGCTGCTCTAGACAGGGACAGGGCGGCGGCTAACATACGGCATCATGAGTAGTAATCCAAATTGGCAATGAAGCCAGGAGCATACGTGCAATGCTCAAGCTTGAAGCAGGCGTCATTTTTAAGCCAGCCAACTCAAAGAAGTATGTTAGCACAGAAAGGAAGAGGTTTCAGCTGAGAATCTGCATAAGAAACGGCATACTGGCGATCTCGGAATATCGAACCTCTGTCCCTTTGAACAGTCAAGGAACATAGTTGACTTGAGGTGTTCTTTCTCGAGACGGTTGGTCTGCCCCTGGAGGATGGCAGTGAAGTGAATTTACAAATCCATCAGCCATTGAGCGACAGTTACTTAGCCACTTACGTAGGAAATGCAGCTGGACACAACGGGAATTTGGCCTGTGTGTTTTCTTCCGAGTTTCGAATGAAAAAGACTGTTTTAACCCGAGGAATTATTTTGGTGCTCGTCAGATATACAGCAAAGAAAACCGCCTCTCTGTCAATAACTACATCAGTCATGTCTTCAGCATCAACGTTTCTTGGTACATTATCCTCTTCCATTTAGTTGTTGAATGGGGATATAGTTTCGAAGCTCGGTTTCAGGGTATACAATGCGTATACTGAGAGACAGAAAAGGCTGTTCGGTGAATTGAGTTCTTCGGCGGTCAACACAAATGACACGATATCACTTGGAAAAGTGGCAGACCAGATTCGGATACATAGACAGCGGGACCAGGCCATTGCTCACGTATCTATCTTGGCTGGGAACAACAATACCAATGCTTGTCAAGATACGTTGAATCTTGTGATTCGGCTCATCCTGATGGTCGAACTGGGCAGTTTAGAGAAACCTTCTGGGTTCATGCACCCAGCGGGCTCACGGCCTCTGCCCCTCTGGGATAATAATTCTTTGGACAGTCTGACTGAAAAGGTGTTCCCTATCTCACTCCAACAGTCCTGCAGTGGCATGACAATGACACCGGAGCTCTCTGCCTGGAGTCTTGAGAACGTTGCTGGGATCAAGATTGAGTTCACCGATAATCTGGCGGATCATTTGCGTCTGACCAACAACAACAATCAGCTATATATTTTTCATCATGTGGCGTTCCTCGAAGCCCAGAGGCACAGGTCAGTTTCTCTTGTACATCTATGCATAATCTAATATATCAAAGCATAAACTCCCAAGCCCCCGTTCTTCCGCAAGGACTAGCCGAAGAAACCCTCAGAACTCTAGCAATACTATTTCCACAATCCGACCACTGGGCAGCACTACGCTCCAACCGGAAAAGGCAAGTTTGGTTAGAAAGGCTCTGCACGCACTCAAGCCGCGTGATAGATCCCCAGATAGCTTGGTGCGGGACTCCCAGCGGAGAGAGCAGATATCTCTCAAACTTTTGTTTTTGGAGAGATCGTCTACTAATTCTAAAGGAAGAGTTTGATCATTCGACACCGGATTCATTCTCTCAGTCATGGTATGACCGACGGAATGGAGTGCAATGGCATAACTTTTGGGTTGCCATGGTGGTCTTGGGACTGCCGGCTGTGTTTGGACTGATACAGTGTATTCTTGCGTCGATTCAAGTATATAAAGCATATCATCCTTAAAGAATACCGAATAAGGCATTACAAGAGCCAAGACCCGAGACCTGAGTCATATAGAATAAAGTCGACTCACTAAAAAGACATACCAAGCTCTATCTATTGTATAAAAACAAGGTAAAAGACATGATAATGGCCATCATAACAACAGTAAATTCCGATGACAGCTTAACAGCTCCACTGCCATATCCAATATTCGATGAGTCGTTCCCAAAACCTACTGTGCGCAGCCAAACAGGTGTCTTGTCTTCAAGACTGAGTGAATCAGAGTGGTATGCATCAATGACCCCAGACACGCGGATTTGTATGAAGCCATGAGCGCCGGGATCGCTTGTTGTAGGCCCCTGCCAATTACTCACGTTAGGCTGCACGTATGGAATCGCGGAGAATACAGCGTCCATAGTTAGGTTAGCTGTCTTGTCGTCGAACATGACGCTGATGTCGGGCCATCGAAAGTCATCCCAGTCCTCCGCCTCCCAAGATCGGAACTCCTGCACGCTAACTCTGTAGTCACCGCTTAGCTCGGTGGTGTTGCATACTGGCATGGTGAGATTTAGACTCGATGAGTACGATTCCGGCAAGTTGCGTTCAAGTACCGCACTGAGGTTATAGGCTCCGGATTTAGTCTGGGTAGTGGTGAAGTTGAAAATGTCAGGTCCTTTCCCCACTTTGGGGCGCCAATATCCATCTGGGCTTGGACTGGATCAACGTTAGCAAGTTCAAAGCCTTGAATGCTGAAAGACGTATAGACTAACTGAACAGAATATAAAGGAAATTGAAGTCCCCCAGATTGAGATGAATACGTAAAATCAGCACCAAGAGAGGATACGTTGAACCCCGCTGAGGCTTTTGGTATAAGAGTTAGCCAGAAGATAACAGAGTTACTTCCATCGTTCCATTTGCCTTTCTCAAGGATACTGAGGATGGCGTCGTATTTGACGATTTGGGTAGAGTTCTTTAGCTTTGAGCATAGATTATCTGTGTAGTTAGGGCCGAATATGGTTTCGTTCCAGACGTCTCCAAAGATAGGTTTCAATTCGACCTCTGCTGTTGCGTTATAGTACCTATTAAGAAATCATTTAGCTAAGTCATCACGCTTTTCTACCGCAGCGAGACTCACGATCCAACCCATTGATAGAAGTCGCCGAGGCCTGTAACGTTGCGAGGACGGTAATTAGTCGAGTTGTCATAGTTTTCGTCATCTTTCGCGAGGCATAGAGTCAGCAGACAGAACAGGATTGTATGCTGCTGCACTATTCGATTAAAACCCAACATTTTCGCTCCTAGCTTGTATGTACAGTATGTGGTGAACTTGCGGTGGATGCAGGAACAATGCGAGTTTTATCCATCAGCATGCTAGTGTCAGATGCGCCAATGTGGTACGGTTCATCTCGCTTAGCCTGTTCTGTGGGCAATGAGCTTAACTCTTGTGCATCTAATTGGTGCCAAGCCGACGTCAATCCACTTGACGGCCAAGCAGCCGGCTTGGCTGTCAGACAGACACAACCAACAAGTCGACCATCTCATCTTAGGAAATAGGAGCCAAGGGGAGGCAAGAAAGCTGAGAACTTTTTATCCTAAATAATAAAAAGACTTAAGTAAATTACATAAACCTTAAACTATTTCTTTTTGGCACCTTGTCTCAGGGTAAAATGTTTTCCTGGCCGGGGAACTATTGTCAAACCTTCTACGGATATACAAATCATCAGGGGCATGGAGCTCGTTTCAAGGTCATTTATATCCTGTTGCATTGTGTCAAGGCCAGTTAAAGTTTCCCTGAACGAAGAAAGAAGTAACGCCATGTCTAGACATAAAGTATTACAAAAAGTGTTTTTTTTTCTTCCTCAACATAACAACAAACACCTCAACATAACACAAAACAAGGCGTCATACACTATGCCCAAACAACACAGCAAACTTGAATACAAAGTCAACACATCATACAACTGCTGCCACGAACCTTAATAGATATCCAAGTGAACAAGTGGCCTCAATTCACAAGCAGACATTACCTGTATAGAGAGCAGATTCGCCCAGGCTAACTTGTTCCACGATGTCCCAACCTTTACACCCTGCACATCATCACTAGTCACCATGAAGTTCGACTTCTATCGCGACGTCCTCAGCCTAATGATGGGTAAGCTCGGCCTACCTGGCGCCGACAACTTCGGCAGAGAAAGCAACCAACGGCGATCCCTTCTTCTCGACACAGTCATGCAAGGTCGACCCAGAGCATCCAGCTGCAAGCTTCTGCAGCTCCCCGCCGAGATCCTCGCTGATATCGTCGACCTGCTAAGCGACGACAGGGCATCGCTGGAATCCCTTGCGCTGGTCAACAGTGATTATCAGCAACTTGCTCGCTGCTGTCAATTCGCCGAGGTAAACTTCGACTACAGCCTCGAAGCAAAGCAACTTGCTTCCCAGCTTGTGGAGGACAAATCGTCTCAGCTGTCCAGACCCGGGATTGGCGCTTGTATTCGCAGAGTTACCTTTGCATCTCATCCGCACCATGTCGCACACACCCATCGAGAGCTTTATGAGTCATTTTACGGCGATGACGCTCAATCAGTCGCCGTAGAACAACGACAAGTGCTCTCTGATGAGGCGCGTGAGGAGTATGTCGTGGCGCGAGCAGCTGCAGTCGAGGCCATCTCATCATTGCCAAACCTTGAGACTCTCAGCTGGAGAGATCAATTTTCTTTGGATAAGAGCTTTTTCGAAAGGATAACGCGCTGCTCGGCGCAGCACATCGACCTGAACAGGCCGGCAATCGATGACGCCTGGTCTTTGACACCACCTCTGACACCCTCGACCTGGCCACTCAGGTCGCTGAAACTCGACGTTAGTATGGCGCTGGATAAACGGAATGACATTGAAAAGAAAGGCGCGACTGGGACGCATCACATGACAAGCTTTTTCTCAACCTTGTTCCATCTCTGCTCACCTACCCTCGAGTCTCTGACCTGGACGTATATCGACCTTGACAGAGATGGCGGCGTCCTTGTTTCGATCGGAGAGTCAATTGTATCGTTTCCTCGTCTGAGATACTTGAGGCTCCATTTCGTTAAACTCGATAGCGTTGCTATTTCATCTTTTCTCGCTGCGCCTCTTATGTCCCTTGACTTGGACGATAGGGTATTGAATAATCCCTCGACCTTTGATTGTGAGCCTTTACGAGATCTTGAGGACTTTGCTGTTTCTCATCCGCCACAAAAGGCTTCAGCTTGTAGGCGCATCGCAAAGTTCATCTCGCAGCACACTGAACTGCGCAGACTGTATCTCCACGAGAGCTCGTCGGCTCAGGGAGGGACAGCATATCTCGATGATGTTATTCTTCCCACACTCAGCAGCCTCGACTTCGGTAACCTCAGATCGCTATATCTAGCATGGGGAGAAGCTCAAATTCCTGGAGAGTCCCTACGAATAATCGGACAACTTATTTCTCTGGAGCAACTGAGTCTCAGTGCTGGAAAGAGTTACGGATTGCAACACCACTGGCTCGTAGATCATGACAAACTCCGCCATCACCTCAGCCTGCTCCAAGGACTCACCAAGCTGGCATTGGTCTGCGATACGTATCCCGTCCCTATACCCGGGCTCCCTTCCGGATTCTACTATGAGCTTCGAATACCGGGACCCGAGGCAAGGGAGGATGCACAAGCGAGACCAGAGCTTGATGTGGACGAAGACACTGGGGAGTGGGTAGATATGATGCAGATATGGGAGAGAGTCCATCGAAACCGTATGCTTGATCAGGCTGAGAAGTACGCTGCTGTCTTTCCGAGGCTTGAGTGGATGTTTTGTGGGCAGCGACCGATGGGGTTCACAAAGACACCTGAGGGACAATGCGAGCTTCGAAGAGCAGTGCCTTTGACTCAGGGGAGGGGTGAGTGTCGTACATATCGACAGGCGATGTTTAGAGGCTCCAACTAGATGGGGAGTGACTTCACAGTAACTAAGAATTGATATGAATAATAAACTAGCAAGCCTCTGTACGGTCTCCCAACCAGGCTTTACTCAACGGAGCACCTGCATCTTACATCTCTCTCTATATCTCAGGTATGTGGTTTGGCTTTTGACATGAAAGTTCAAAGTTTGGCAGTTTTGCCATTTTACTTGATGTTGAATGAGTTACTTGCAAAGTAAGAGCCTGCCTTCTTGAGAATCCCGCCACCAGCATTTAAATCCTGTGGCTACCCTGGAAAGAGCGTGTTCCTTTGCTAAAAGAATAAAATATCCACAAACCTTTCAGCAGTATCTGCTATTTTATCAAGGCAAAATATCAATTACAAGACAAATACAGAGTTATCTGGTATTGGAACAGCACAATTTCTGTCGCAAAGATGAAATTGCAAGTGATAGCCTTTATTTTGCATGACTGGCTCAGACAGAGGTGAGAGAAATTATCCGATGTCGGGGAAACGTGTGTGTATATGGGCAACAGTTCAGAAAATTGAATCGTGCAGTTTGTATACCCAACAGACTATAAACGCGCACAAGGAGCAACTATACAAACTATTGCAGATTTGTGATTGAACTTGAGTAGAAGTTTGACTGAGCCGAGAGACTGTACATTCGAGATAAGCGATAAGATAAGATGAGAACTGATCCTTCATTGGAGCAACTGTCCCTGCATTTACGAAGGAACTGAAAGATGTCAATCTTATTCGGCTCCAGCATACGCTCGAAGATTTTGCATTAAAGTCGCGATGCAACTGGAGATGTCAGGTTCATGCGAAAACATCTCCAATTGAGATCGCAACCCAGTCTATTGGAACACCTAAGTCCACCCATGTCAAGATATGCTGCACTATCTCAGATGAGCACCAGGATTTAATAGTTCTCGGGGCGACATCTCCCCATACAACATAGGACAAGAATACGATATCGAACCCTGAATCTCCCATCAATTAAACACATGGGAAATTCGAAATCACAGACCCACGGCATCAATCTCACAGAATCCACAGCAACAAGATCCTTCGACAATTCCGACCTATGATTTGCTACCAAGATACGAAACCAAGGATCCAATCATTAGCGCGTGCTACACGCCGAGGCTAGAACCCTGCCCAGGACCAGGTAGCTGGTTCTAGCAGTTGTACCGAAATCTTGGTACCTGAGGAGTCGATCAGTGGATGAAGGATCCATGCTGAAGATTCTGGGCCGCGAGATCTACTATGAAAAGAGGGGAGGGCTATCTCTAGACTTTATATTGTATGTCACTGTTCCTCGGAGGTAGAGATTTCTAGTTGGACCGGGGCATTAGTTCCGGGGACTATCTAACAGTCTACTATGCAGATAGCCATCTCAGACTACAAAGATACCCAATGTCAAGCGTGCAAAGTCACATGCCGATCAAATCTGCGCATCTCCCGACGATTCGCGATGCAACACCAACAGGCTTCATCTACTATGCTGATCCCTCCGGTTACACACGTCCCCGAACGTCGGGTCTCAAGATCACCCAAGCTGCGCAAAGTCCGGGGCAGTACGGAAGTCAAAGCGTAGTAGGGATCTCTGGTCTCAAGTTTTCTTTTTGCTCCCGGAAAGTAAATCTCGCAGACTAAACTAAGCCTAGCGGAGTTTGCCTCTCCCCGGTGGAAACTAATGTACCTAGACCTTAGTGTAAACTCTGTTGTTGGCAAAAGCCACGAGATGGAATGTCTGCCACGTTTTTTTCTCAAGGGAGAATGTTCTGAAACTAGCCCTGTGAAATGATAGTAGAATGGCGGTTTTAATTGATTCTGCCACGTTTTTGTGACAGTTTGTTTCGGGGGAGGTTCTGCATGTTTTGCAGGCATCGTGGCAGAGAATTATCAGCCACTGCACTAGACTACCGGGGGTTAGACTCTATCGAGGTGGGCGAGTCATGCCGGATCCATTTGCATCGCGCCGCAAGATTGGATGAGGGCGACTCAACACCAAGAGCACCACTCTGTACGATGGATAATGTCCTTTTCTCGGCATCAATTCTGGTGTCGAGAGCGGATGATTCAAAGGCCGCTCAATACACGTGGACATTATGCTTGTGCTGACTGTCTTGCTCACCCAAACGTGGACCAGAAATACATTGTCAACGAGAACTAGTATGTAAAGGTCATCAATAGAACGAGTCGTCAACAAGTACATACCACCGATTGAAGCACATAATTCCTTCATCTTGTCAACAACATCAAATGCTTCAAGCCATACTCTTCATCAACCTTCTCAGCTTTGACTTGCGATGATCTCTCTAGACGCCGCGATTCTTCGGATCGTGCCAAGTTCACCGTTCTCACTACCCGGCATCCTCGGCATTTCCTCCGCCGAGATCCAAAACGAAACCATGCCTAACAATACTTTATCCAGTTAGACATCAATCTCACCAAAACACAGGGGGCGCTGTTGACTCGTGCTGAAAAACAAGGCAAACAGGTCCAATTACTAAACGAATGCTAGGTATCAAGGCGCCAGCGTTGTTAGCGTCGTCTCATAAAATTATGGCATTCACAGGTAGGTGCACGTTATAGGATAGGTTTGCATGTTCTATTCTCAGCAATTTGTGTGTGCTTTGATCTTTTGGAATGCTTGGCTGAATCAACCGTTGGGCGAACAGACAGTGGGAGATCTACAACGGGATATCGCGAGCGTGATTCGAATCTTGATCATAAATGACTGAAAAAATACCAAGACACTAAAATAAGGGGGCAACAAAAAGGATCCACGATTTCCCGTGATCTGCAGCATTGAGTTGGAGTAAGCTTAGCGGGGAACCAATGACTCGGTCAATTTTACACCGACGAAGCTCAGGGGATTGGAGCCCAATGCGATAAGCAAGGCGGCCGATTTGCGAATATCTGAGTTTATGAGCTTTGATGAACAAGGATTTATGCCTGAAACCTGTGGTGATATGCTTTTCTGGGTATGATGCTTAGACTGCATGGAACCAAGAAACTCTTCCATCATCCGGGGTACAGCAATGTCTCACAGATACCCTCACGATTCAAATACACTACTTCTTATTGCTCATGCAAACACTCTTGGCATCCGATATTTCCATTGAAGCCAGCGCTATCTATTCCCATGATTCAGGGGCCATCCATGAAATGTACTTTCTTAGCTGTTTGCCCATCTCGCCTGGTCTCCCAGTCTAGCTCCCCAAACTAGTCTCGGGGCGACAGAAATACGAGACACCTCTCTCAACCACTCATAACACGCTGTGATGAAACCAGATTTGCTCATCCTTTTTTCTGTCCCCCGCCGGCATCTAACTAGTCTGGTCCGGACTCCTCACGCCGTTTTTTCCCAGCGCAAGCCACTTCAGCCCTCCAATGGTGATCGGCAGTACCTCCAGCTAGAGAACTAAAAACAGGGGCTTTTGGTTTTACTAGTCAGATACTACCGAGACTACTGCATCAGCTGCAGATTCTGCAAGCCTGTTTCTTAAATCCAAGCAAGGAGCCTGCCTGCTTTTTTTTCCTTTTACCACATTCCTTTTTCAGCTGTTGCATTCCGTTTACAGAAGCTGTATATCCTTCTTTTCTTTTTTTCGACTGTAAGCCTGACGTCAAGATGACAGGAAGAGGCTTCCTCGTCCCTGACAACTATGTCGACGATCTTCCCAATGAGACCGACATGAACATCGCCTCCATCGCCTGGGGCTTGTCGCTGGGCATCACGCTCTTTAACATTGCAAAGGCGATTCGACAGACGAGATCTGCGTGGAATCGAAGGAAGAGGGTGACCAGTTACATTGCGTTGATTTGGGCGGAGATTATCTCGAGTTTTATCTTGGGTGTTATGTGTTGGTTTTATCTGAGGGGTGATATTGAGCCGAGCATGCAGTTTTTCTTCTTCATCAGTAAGACTACCCGATATTGAGGGGCTTGGGGTATTTGCTAACGAGTGTAGTTGTCTGGTGGTCAACACAGGTCCAGTGTCTTATCCAGATCATCATCAATCGAGTTTCGCTATTGATGGTTGTTCGTTCCAACGGTACAAAGCTCAAATGGCTGTGCTTCCTTATTCTTTTCGCCGTCAACATCAGCGTGTTCTGCATCTGGGTCCCCGCTCGACTACAGATTAGCGAGGCTTATATCCACTTGAACAACATCTGGGATCGATGCGAGAAGGTCATTTTCGCTATCATGGATGCTGTCCTCAACTTCTACTTTATCTACGTCGTCAAGCAGCGACTTGTTGCCAATGGTCTTCAGAAGTATACTCGTCTGTATCAGATGAACATGTTTTTGTGTGGTATTTCCATTGCTTTGGATGTACTGCTTATTTGCATGATGTCTCTGCCCAACGGCTTTGTGTAAGTTGATCAACATCACAGAGGATCTTACCTGTACTGACTCTCTCCAGTTACATTCAATTCCATCCTCTCGTCTACCTTCTCAAGCTTCACATCGAGATGAACATGGCCGATCTTATCGGAAAGGTCGTTCGCGCCGGTAACAACGACCAGCGCGGCGGCCACGACTACTCCTCACGATCACGAACGACCGGAACATCACGACCTCACGGCACACGATTCGGTCAGACTCTCGCCAGCGCTCATCACCGAACACATATCGAGCTTGGTGAGGAGGATGAGTATGAGCTCAAGGAGCGTGAGAAGATTGAGGGTATCAAGAAGACTGTCGTCACACAGATTGTGCATCAGGGTCAACAGCAGGATGATGATGATTCTACTGCTGAGGAACATAACGATCGCGCTGTGAGCGAGGCCAGCTCGACCAAGCATTTGCATCAGCGGAACTATAGCGGTGTATAGAACAGACACATCACGTAGAGGATTGACACACGGAATGGGATATACCCAATAGAATATTTATATAGATTTTTTTTAATGTGTAATGAATGGCCAAAGGCTTATTGATCTTCAAATCAGTTCACTATTGATGTCTCTTGATGCCTCGATATGATGCAGTTGCGAGCAATTGTGCTGTTGATACCTTTTGAGCCATGACTCTTGATGAAGATAATGGTCAATCTGGATTCCGGTGGAGGTCTACAGCG